GAAATAAGGGTTACGGTGAGTGGCGGGGTGGGGTTTGGGGGTGTTGGTGGTAAGTGGAGCTGAGTCCACAAAACGATCAGCCATGATCTTATTGAATGGCGGAGCAGGCTAGAGGGACCAGATGGCCTGCTCCTATTTCTTATACTGTTATGTATTTAACAAGAAGGATTGTAAAGTTGAATACTATTCTGCCTTTGTGTTCTGTGTTTTGATTTGTTTTTCTCTGTTTTAAGATGGCACCAGAGAATGGTGACACTGTACAACACTTTTCATTGTATTTTTTGACAAAATACATGTGACAATAAATAAAATTTCCAGCATTCTTTAAGATTGGCAATGCTTGCAAAGTAACAGAAGGGTGTACGTGCTAGTTCCAATGAAACGGTGCCAGTGTGCCTTTAATGGACTGAAATAGGGGGCATAAGAGAACTTGCAACACAATCAAAACAAGACAATTGTTTGCTCTTCAGTTTTGTTATTGGATCGGTGCTAATGTCAGTTTATTTAAGATTACAAAAGCAATCCCTGTTTTATTTCATCATCTCAAACTTGGAAGTAACCAATGCAATGAAGAGGAAGAAGTACTTTCGCAAGCAGTTGTGTAGAAACTGCAAGTCATGTGATGTGATTGATTGTATTTAATTTATTTATTATCACGTATTTATTACAGATACAGTGAAAAGTGTTGTCTGGTGTCGCCATTCTCCAGTGCCACCTTAAAACACAGCAAATAAACAAACCAAAACAGAGAATATTGAGCCAGAAAAAAAAACAATAAAATAAAACAAAAAGTTAATAAACAACAAGGAAATAAAATTTTACAAACTAAGATTATTAACCATAGATTAATGCCATAAAATGTGAGAGCAGAAGTAGGCCTCGGTCCATCTAATCTGCTGTACGATTCCAAATGGTCATGGCTGATCTGATGATGCTCAACTCCACTTTGCTGACTTATACCCATAACCCTTAGTTCCCTTACTGAATGGAAATCTGTCTGTCTCAATTTTGAATACACTTAAGAACCCAGCTTTGACATCCCTCTGAGGTAAAGGATCCCACAGATGCACCACCATCAGAAGAAATTTCTCCTCAGCTCTGTTTTAAATAGGTGACCCCTAACTTTGAGATTATGCCTTCTGGTCCTTGACTCTTCCATAAGGAGGAAACAACCACTCCATCTATCTTGTCAAGTATCCTAAAAATCATATATGTTTCAATAAGGTTTCCCTCATTCTTTTCTGCTCCAATGAGTATAAGCATAACCTATCCACTTCTCATAAGGTAATCCCTCCATAGCCAGATTCGACCTAGCCTACTCTGGACTGCATCCACTGCCAGATAAAGGGACCAAAACTGTTCACATTATTTGCACAAACATCTAACTAGTCCTTTGAACAGTTTTAGCAAGGGGTCCCTATTTTCGCATTCTGTTTGCTTGGAAATGAAGGCCAACAGTCCGTTTGCCTTATACCAGCTTGTTGTGAATCATGCACAAAGACCCCCAATTCCCTCTGTGTTGTAACTTTTTGCAGTCTTCTCCATTTAAATAATATTCAGCTCTTCTGTTCTTCCGGCTAAAAGGACATAATGTCACATTTTCCTACGTATTCCATCTGCCAAGTTTTTGCCCTTTCACTCAACCTGTCTTTATCCCACTGTATATTTAGACGGTGAGATTTGCACTATTTGCCCACCCACCAATTGTTCTGTCATGCACAGACTTGGTAAAAGTATATTCAGTTTTGTTATCCAGGTCATTAATATAAGTTATAAATAATTGTGGCCTTAGCAGAGATCCCAATGGCACTCTACTAGTTACATTTATCCCAACTCTCTGTCCTCTGTTAGTTAGCTAATCCTCTATCCATGCTAATATACTACCTCCAGCACCATGGGCTCTTATTAAGTGGCCTCACGTGACCTTATTGGATACCTTTTGGAAACCTGAATATATTACACGTACTGGTTCTCCTTTATCCTGCCTGGTACCACCTCAAAAAACTTGAATGAATTTGTCAAGCATGATTTTCCCATCATGAAGCCATCTGACTTTGCTTGATTGTATTATACACTTCTAAATGCTCTACTATTGGATCCTTTGTAAAGTACTTTATAATTTTCCCAGTGTTTACGCTAACTGACCTGTAATTGCCATTTTTGTATTTGTCTCCCTCCCTTTTTGATTAAGGCTGTTACGTTGGGACTGGGATATATGTTTGCTGTGAGTCATGAATGATATTCTTAAATGTTTATCATTGTTCCTCAACTGTCTTTTGCCAATGCCTTTCCCAGTCCACTCCAGCTAACACTCTGCCCTCGTTGCTATGTAATTACACTTATTTAAGTTTAGCATTGTTTATGACTCAAGTTACCAAAATAAGAACACAAGTTCCTTTTCTTTTCCATTGAAAACATTACTGCACCTACCCCCATAATTACGTGGTCAATTTGAGAAACTTGTTACTGTGAGCATTAAAAGACTGAAGAAGGGTCTAGACCCGAAACGTCAGCTTTCCTGCTCCTCTGATGCTGCTTGGCCTGCTATGTTCATCCAGCTCTACACCTTGTTATCTCAGACTTAACCCTTCCTGCATTGTCGTCAAGCCTTACTTGTGGTCTACATTGGCAGATATTGACATTGATGTACTAGAACATACCTGAAATGTAATTCATTTGTTTATGCTATATATATTCAGAAGTAAAATATAACTATTTTATTTATCTTCATAATCTGGAAATACAGTTGATATTGTGAAATTATAAATCCTTTCTAAATAACATTTTCAAAATGTATGTTTTTTCTGGTATGCTGAAATATACCCAGTGCCAACCAGAGGTTGGATATGTGTTAAGTTCTTCTGTATGCTGAAATGGCTATAGCCAAAATTCTGTGGAGGAATAATTAGAGAGCAGTCTAGCCTCCTGCTACAATTCAGTCATATTGGTGCAAATTTTGCCGTGTTATAGAGACGGCATAACAATATAAAACTAATAACAGTCCAATAATTTCCTGTCTCCTTGTTAACCTCATTGCTATATTTCAGTTAGTATTTCACCACTGGCTATCTGTACATTCTTGTTTCTAGTTCCAGATTACACGCAACAAGAACTCTGAATGTAACTGAGAGGGTTTTTTTTTTTAAATGCGCTTTTTGATATATCTAAGTTACGATGATTACTTGCAAAGCAAACACTTAATTGGTGCTTTTCACGGGGGTGGGGGGTGGTGCTGGCAATAGCTTCCGGCAATAACACAGAAGTCAACTGGAAATATAAAAACATTCTGAAATATAGGTATTATTTATTCACAAAGCACTTGTTCAGTTGCCATATTTGCTTAATAGTGTTCATTCCAGGTGAGTAAGAGTTTCTGCCTTGTGTATCTATTCTGAATTTTCTACACCAACCTGTGACTCATTTTATAGCACTGGCAGAAAACTCTGCTCTAATGATGCCTTTCTGTGTAATGTGTTAGTAGTTTGGCAAGTGACCAATATTGTATTGATCTCTGAATGGAATGAAAACTATAAATTTGTATTTCAGGATTTTTTTTGCATGCCAATAGTTTCTTCCCTGCATATGAAGTTGCATGTTTTCTATCTACTTCCATTTTGTAAGTTTTGGATTAGTGTTTTACGGTATAATAACATAGCTGTACTGCTAGCATAATGGTTCAGATTGTGTCAGGGTAATAAAGCATTGAACTGCTACAAACTCTTTGGTGCTTTCACACTGTAACATAAACAATGAAGTGATGGATTAATCACACAGAATTCATACTAAAACTGATGCTTATTTTAAGAGCTGAGTTTAGTTTAAGAATTTGTCCACTATAAGAAAAAGCGGCTTGAGATGGTTTGAGGATTAGAGACAAGAGTTGGCCCTTGTTTCTGCTAACTGATAGTTTTTGACAAATCTTTGCTGGAAGAGCAGGATGTGCGAGCTTGTATTTTTCAAATGCCATTCACAACTGCAGGATGTCCCAAAGTGTTTCATGGCCAATGAGTTGATCTGAAGCATAATCACTGTTATCTTGTAGGCAAATGAGGTAGTGGTGAGATAAATGATAGCTTAAATTATTTTGTGGTGAGTTGATTTTGAGGTAACATAGTCAGGGCAAGAGGAGTCCTGTTTATTTTCTTCAAACTGTAATCCCATGGAGTATTTTATGTGCACTTAAACTGGTAGGTTTGAACAGGTTTGGCTCTCAATCTCATCTGTCAGCCGCAGAGTGGATCTTGATCAACCAACCTTCTGACTTGGATGTAAAGGTGCTACTTCCAGGTGAAGCTGGTACCTCAGTAGTATGTTGTATTTGATATCTGGGCTTGCACATTAACAATAGCTACTTGCTATGCTGCATTGAAGGTTGTATCTAACATTATCTCAACAATCAATCAATTAGTACATTTCACCAGAGTGAGGATCAGTCTAAGATCTTGTGATGCTATTGCAGAAAGAGCAACAATTTCTCTCAATTTTTTGACTGAAATCAAATTAACAGAACATTTATTTAATTGCTGTTGATTTGATTTGGTTGCCAAGTTTGTCACCAAAACAGCATCTACACATTAAAAGACAGTCGGGTACGTTGAGACCTCCCTGAGGATGTGAATGGTGTTATATAAGTGCAATATCTTTCTTATTATTGAAAATCTTCCACAATTCACAGGCTCCTTATTCACAAACCTTGTTGTCATTTTGGTTTTGTCTTCTATATGCACTTACTTCTATAAATTGTATGTAGTTTCAAAGTTTCTATTCACTTTCCTTTTGTCAGTGATGGCATTGTAGATTCTGGAAACAAAGTAGTTTTGTGGAGTTAGTTCCTGGAAACTTTTTCTGAAACTCATTGCCATTTAATATGTCAAAAATGTAACATACATCAACTTCCATGAGCAAAACCAAGGGCAATTTACAAGCATCCTATATCTTAATAACATACATGTATTCTGCAATCTCTTGTATGTCTTACTACGAACATTTTCATATTGCAGAAAGTCGAAGGCTTTAACCTAAGCATACCGATGCCAGGTCACCCGGTGAATTTTTCTGCAGTGACAATGCAACAGGCTCAGAAAGATGTTGAACAGCTGGAGAAACTCATTTGCTCACATGATGTCATTTTCCTGCTAATGGACACACGGGAGAGTCGCTGGCTCCCCACAGTCATTGCAGCCAGTCAACGAAAGGTACAATATCACTACCATCTCAGTTCACTGTGGCTCAGTGACCATGTTCTGTTGATGTAGAAATAATTGGTAGTGAAAGATTGTAAGTAAATCCTTTTAGTTTAGGGTAGATTTTTCCCCTTTTAAGTGGCCAGCTTTATTCTTCTTTACCAGTTTAAAGATGGAAAAATAAATACGGCTTATTGCAAAAATGCCACACACTTAAACCATGTATTTACAGTTCCATTTATCCTGAAGTTAGTGATCTGGAGCATAGCACCACAGTTTTGCCTTGCTTATTTCAAGACTCCCTTCTCCATGCTTAAATCAAAGTATTTCGTATCATCAAGCAAGTCTACTACGGGATGGTGTCAAGGCCAGTGTTTATTGCATTTATTTTTGCACGAGGATTCACTAAATGGCTTTAGAAATGGCTTGGAGTTAATAGTGCTCCTGTGACTTTGCTGCTATCTGTATTCTAAAAAATTTGTTTGTATTTTATGTAAACCTATTGGGGCACATTTTACAAATTCATAATACTGTTGCAGATGTTTGAAAGATAAGGATATATAGATTTTGGGAATAAAGATCGGTGCACCCACCATAATCACCCATCTGCTAAGACTGAAATCTACTTCATAAAACTTTCAAAAACTTACTGTGCCTCTTATTTTGGTAAAAATCCAGACTGGACAAAGGAATAACAAAATAGGGATATATAAAAAAAAGAGAATATAGTTAAACATGAATGTAAATTATATTTATTTTTTGCCTGCAGTTAGTCATTAATGCGGCTTTGGGTTTTGATACTTTTGTCGTAATGAGACATGGTTTGAAAAGGCCGAAACAGGAATCCGGAGAACCAGCTGCAGTCGCTGCTACTATCAATTCTTCCTTGGCAGGCTCTTCACTCTTTTCGAACATTCCTGGCCACAAACTAGGCTGCTACTTCTGTAATGACGTTGTAGCACCTGGAGATGTAAGTTGTGTGTGTGCAAATTATCTCTGCCATAGTTGAATGATATTTTTCCTTCATGTTTGCCCACTTTATTGACTTGTTTTAACCAACAGAACCTCACGTAGCACTTGAGACGTAATATGGAATCAGGCTAGGTGCTTTTGTGAGAAATGGAGACTGGAATCTGGAATCTAACTTTCTCCTCTTGAGAAGATGTTATCCTGTGACCTCTTGATTTTATCAGGGAACTTTTTTTTGGTTTATGAAAATAAGCAGGCATTAATGTCATTGCACTTTGGGAATCCTGTGCACAGGAAAAAGAAAGATGCAAGTTTATGCCTGAGTCCAGGTAGAATATATCTGACCTCTGCCAGATAACTGGAAGAAGTTCTGTGAGGTTCCAAGAGACAAAACAGATTAGTGCTGAAGCTCAGTCACTTTTTGACACTTCCCAGGGTATCAGGGTCAGCTGTAAACTTTTTGCCCTCTGGAGATTGATGGATGCAGCGCAGGACTAAATGAAAAGGAATTTTGTTTTTCAACCATTACGTAAAAATAAAAATCTTGATACTCGTCTAAGCTGATGGTAATTGTTAATAACCAAGTGTCAAGATGGGAATAATTCACTGTCTTTTCTGACAGTCAACTAGAGACCGTACTCTAGACCAGCAGTGCACTGTGAGTCGTCCTGGTTTAGCCATGATCGCTGGAGCACTGGCAGTGGAATTGATGGTTTCTATATTGCAACATGCTGAAGGGTAAGCTGAAGGATTTATGTGTAATTGCACTTCTAATTAAGTGCCTCTGTAATTGACAGGCTGGGATTGTAGATTTTGAAATGTTTGATTTTGTTAAATGTTTAGAGAAATCTGAGTACTCTGCAGCTTCTGACTAGTTATTAAACCTGGTTATATCTGTTCCTCCTACTGGAGCAGTTTTGAATATTGAATGTTGAAATACAGAGTATATAATTAAAATGTGTTATTACAGCTCATTAGAGTTAGTTGAAAGATGTCCATAGATGCTACTGATGCCCCCAGGTAGCTTTCTAACGCTATCTTACTGATAGACTTGCTGTGGATTATTTTGTTCAGATTTTATAAACTTAATTAATGTTGTCTGTATTCTTTAATGTTTCTCTTTTCAAATAGTCAAAATGCAATTTGTGCCAAAGAACAATTTTTTACAATCACTTCTTCCCTTCTTTTGATAAATATTTGATAAATACCCTATATTAATGCATTTTTGTTGTCTTCTCACTGACCAATGCAAACACAATCTACTTAAGCATAACCCTTCATAATCTTGGAGTCAGGTCACTGCTCAACCATCTCCACTCCTCTGAAAATAACCCAGCCTAGTTATCTGTTCAGAACTATAATCCCATATTCCCGGTAATTCTGTAAAGGATACGTGCTATAGCTTTGTCTTTATGTTTATATTCTTTAATGGAGGTCCCAAAACTGTTCAATGTTCCAACCAATGCAACTTAAGTTGTTTTATTTTGATCGTTATTCAATTTCTCAAGATACTAAACTTCAGAAATCCATTTTTGTTATGACCTTATCTACTTTTGGTATTACCTTTCAATGATCGACGTACCTGCACATCAAGGTCCATCTGCTTCCCAGCATTGAAAGCATTTTCCCTGTCCTACTTTTACATCGTAAAGTGTAATTCAGCAAAGTTCGAATTTGTTTGCTCTGTTCGAAGTTAACATATAGTTCCCACTAGCTTTCTGTGCAATTTCTAGTGTCATGCCAGTTAGATTAAACCCACGGTTTTGATACTTGTTAAGTTTTTTTTTCAATCTGAGAAAGTTTACAGTTTCTTATCAGTACCACTTGTTGGCTTTGCAGTGGATATGCAGTAGCCAGCAGCAGTGATGACCGGCTGAATGAGCCTCCGACATCTCTTGGACTTGTCCCTCATCAGGTGGGTAGTTTTGTAGCCTATCCCTCTAGCATAGTGTATTAGGAACAGGTTGTCTTATGGCATGTTTTTCTCAAGAGTGCGTTTTTGTTTTTTTTTTTTGCGAAAGTTTAATGTGACTTATTTTTCAGAACTATTTTCCTTTGTCAGAGCTAATTTTGGTGATACAAGTTGTCAATTATAACTTTATTGCTGAATAGGATGAAGTGTCCTTCATTAACAGGAACAGGAGTAGAATGTTCAGTCATTTGAGCATGTTCCACCATTCAGTTGGGTCATGACTGATCTGCACCTCGATTCCACATACCCACTTTTGATTCATATCCATTGATAACCATTCCTAATGAAAGTATGCCAATTTCAGTCTTGCTAATTTCACTTGGCCCAGCAATGACAACTTTCAAGATTCTGTCCTCTTATTCTAGATTCCCCATCAAATTAATTACCTAAACTGTTGTCATAATGTGCAATGAAGCTCCAAAACTGAACAAAGTGCTTCAGATGGATTAATTTGTTCAACTGCTTAATATACAAGATGAAAAACTAAAGCCCCCGTTCAAGTAGCACAATCTGTCATCCCTACTGTCCATCATCTCCCAACTAATTATCAACCCTTCCCAAGGGTACCTTCATGTGCTTAGTTTTTTAATCTCATGTGGAATCTTATTAAATGTCTTTCGGAAGTCCATTTAGATGCCATCAATAAATATCCCTGCATTGAGTTGATTCACGACATCATCAAAAATTTCAATCAAGATAATCAAACACGTCTTCCTTTCACAAACTCGTGCTGTCTTTGATCAGATCATGCTTCACTGACTTGAAGAATGATTACAACACAGGAGGAGGTCATTTGGCCCACTACATCTGTGATAACTCTCAAAATGCAGTCCCTGATAGTAAATTCCAGTATCTGCCCCACATCTGATATTGAACTGACAAATCTGTAATAAGCATGATTAAAGGTTTTAGAGTAGATTTGTAGTTCGGGTTGTGAGTGTTGTGGTTGGTTGGCTCGCCGAGCTGGTTTGTTGTCCTGCAGACTTTTCATTACCCTGCTGGGTAACAACATCAGTGCAGCCTCCGATGAAGCGCTGTTGTGTTTTCCCACCTGTTTCTTAAATTCTGATGTCCATTGAACTGGATTACCTCATTTCCAGTTTCCCTTCGCAATGGAGTGTATATGGGGTTGAGCTCTTTGTGTTTGTTGATGGCTTTCTTAGTGGAGTGCCAGACTTCTAGGAATTCCTGTGCTTGTCTCTGCTTTGCCTGTCCCAGGATCCTGGTGTTGTCCCAATCAAATTGGTGGTTCTCCTTATCCATTTGGATAGAGATGAGTGAGTTTGGCCATGTCTTTTTGTTGCCAGTTGATGTTCGTGTACCCTTGTGGTTAATTTCCTTCCTGTCTTTCCAATATAGTGTTTGTCGCAGTCTTTGCAGGGAATCTTGTGCATGAGATTGGTCCTTTCCATGGTGGCTAGTGGGTCTTTGGTTCGGGTGCGCAGTTGGCGTGGGGTTGATGTGGGTTTGTGTGCTACTCTGATGCCCAGTGGTCGTAGGAGTCTCGTGGTCAGTTCAGATGTGTTCCTGACGCAAGGTAGCGTGGTGAGTGTGTCGGGACATGTAGTATCTTAAAGTTGTCGTGTGTGTGATAGGCATAAGTAAAGTTATGCTATGGTAGCATTCCATGCTTTTAAGTTTCTTGTTTGTGGAGATAGCTCTTAGATTATTTGCCTGCAAAACAAGCTTAACCTCGTCTTCTCCAATCTGTCTGTTGCACATGCATCTGTCCATGACAGTATTGGTAAGGGTGACAGCTGAGAAATGGAGGCTCGTCTTCACATTGAGGATACCCTCCATAGTGTTGTGTGGAATGATAACTGCTCTAAATTGAATAGATTTCAGTCAGATCTAACAACTCATGACTGGGCATTCATGAGGTGCAGTGGCCCAGCAGCAGAATTATATTCAAACACAATCTGCAACCAGAGATAACAAGGTGTAGAGCTGGATGAACACAGCAGGCCAAGCAGCATCAGAGGAGAAGGAAGGCTGATGTTTCAGGTCTAGACCCTTCTTCAGAGGTGGTGGCCTGGTGGTATTATCACTAAAACTATTAACCCAGAGATCCAGGCACTGTTCTGGGGTCCCGGGTTCGAATCCGGCCACGACAAATGGTAGAATCTGAATTCAGTAAAACAATCTGCAACCTCTTGGCCTGGCATTACCCCCACTCCATCATGACTGTCAAACTAGGGGGGGTCAGTTTTGATTCAGTGAAGTTGTTTGGAGGGCACGCCAGGAGCAGCACCAGGCATGTCTAAAAATGAGGGGTCAACCCTGATGAAGCTACAAAACAGGACTACTTACATGTTAACAGCAAAAGCAGCAAGCGATAGACAGGGTAAAGTGATTCCACAACGAACAGATCAAATATAAGCTTTACAGTCCTGTCACATCCAGTGGTAAATCATTATGGACTATGAAACAAATTACTGGCAGAGAAGGCTCCACAAGTACACCTGTCCTCAATGATGAGGGAGCCCAGATATCAGTGTAAAAGATTAGGCTGAAGCATTTACAAAAGTCTTCAGCCAGAGCTGCTGAGTGGACGATCCATCTTGGCATCCTCCAGAGATCCCCAGCATCGTCTAAAGCCAATTTATTTTGTTCCATGTTATTTCAAAAAATAGCTGGATGCACTGGTTCCTGCAAAGGCTATTGATTTTGATGACATTCCGGTATTAGTACTGAAGACTTCTGTTCCAAATCCTGCTGCATGTTAACCAAGTTGTTTCAGAACAGTTAAAACATTGGCATCTACCCAACCATGTGAAATATTGCCTAGGGATATCCTATACACAATAAACAGAGCCAATCCAACCCAGCCTACTACTACCTCATCAGTCAACTGATGGAAGGTGTCATCAACAATACAATCAGGCAGCACTTGCATAGTAATACCCTGCTCACCGATGCATAATTTGTGTTTTATCAGGGCCACTTAGCTCCTTACCTCATTAAAGCCTTGTTCAAATATGGACAAAAAAAGCTGAGTTTTGGAGGTGAGGTGAGAGTGACTGCCCTTGACATCAAGGCTGCATTTGACTGAGTGTGGCTTCAAGGAAACCTAGTAAAACTGGAATCAGCAGGAGCTGGTTGGAGTCATACCAGGCACAAAGGAAGATGTTTGCGGTTGTTGAAGGTCACTTATCTCAGCTCCAGAATGTCTCCATGAGTTCCTCCCAACCATCTTCAGGTGCTTCATCAATGACAATCCATCCATTATCAGGTCAGAAGTGGGGACGCTCACTGATGATTTCACAATATTCAGCACCATTTGTGAATCCCCAGATACGGAAGCAACTTGTGTCCAAATGCAGCAGGATAAGTGGCAAGTAACATATTTGTCCCACAAGTGCCAGGCTTTTACAGACTCCGGTGTGAAAGGATCTAACAATTGAAGGCATTATGATCACTGAGACCCCACTGTCAACGTCCCAGGTGTTACCAATGACCAGAAATTGAACTGAACTAGCTATATAAGTAATTGTGGCTACAAAAGCAGGTCAAAGTTAGGTATCCTGCAGCAAGTAACTTACATTCTGACTCCCCAAAGTCTGCCCACAATTCTACTAGGCACCAGTCAGAAGCGAGCTCCAGCAACTGGAGGAACTTAGCACTGTCCAGAACAAAACAACCAGATTAATTGGCAGCGCATCCACAAAAGTTCACTGCCTCCACCAGGAGTGCTCAGTGGCGGCAGTGTGCACAATCTGCATGATACACTGCAGAAATTCATCAAAGTATCTCAGACAGCATCTTCTAAACATATGACCAATACGCATCAAGAAGGATATAAACAGCAGATACATGGGAGCACCACCATGAACAGCAGAAATGTAAGAACAGTAGCATGTGCAAGTTCCCCTCCAAGCCACTCGGCATCCTTACTTGCAAATATATCGCAGTTCCTTCAGTTTTACTGGGTCGGAATCCTGGAAGTCCCTCCCTAAGGGCATTGTGAGTCTACCTATAGCACGTGGACTGCAGCGGTTCAGGAATGCAGCTCATCACCACTGTCTGAAGGGAAACTAGAGATGAATAATAGATGCTGGCCTAGCCAGTGAAACCCAGATCCCCTAAATAAACAATAAACAAATAACTAAATCCCTTCCAGGTTTTTTAAGTATTTAAAAGAAAACTTTATTACTTCATTTCTCGTGCTGGCTTAACCATTCCTCTTTAGTTCCCAAATGTTTTACAGGTTTTTATACCCAAAATTTGGGAGTCCTACTGTGGGAAGATGTCAAATACAGATCGGTGTTTGTGATACCGTCAATGTTTGTGGAAAAATGCACTTTTTAACTGGAGATAGCAGGAACTGCAGATGCTGGAGAATCCGAGACAACAAGGTGCAGAGCTGGATGAACACAGCAGGCCAAGCAGCATCATAGGAGCATAAAGGCTGACGTTTCGGGCCTAGACCCTTCATCAGAAATGGGGGAGGGGAAGGGGGTTCTGAAATAAATAGGGAGAGAGGGGGAGGCGGATAGAA